AGAAATAATTGGTTACTCTGAAGTAGCGTCATGTAAACAGTTCAATGCTAGTATATACTTAATTCATATTAACAGTTTCAGTCTGTCTCAAAAAAGAACAAAGACACCTTTCATCTTACGGAATAAGTACTCTATATTGAAGCCAAAATACAGAGGTTTTCTATAGTGACCTGCATGGGTATCTTTAGTGTGATTTTTAAACACTCAATCTTTTCAGTATGAAACCCTTATTTATTAACATGCTTTTTTTCCATGTTCTCTAAATTAATGCAATCACTGGACTAGATGGGACCTCCAGAGGTCTGGTTCTTTTTCCTCCCCAGACCTCTGACACATTCCTCTGGCAGAGGACCTCATTCCTCTGACACATCTGTCTATTGACTCCACAACATCACCAGGCAATCTTTCTAGCAGTGCATTACCCTTTGAAAGTACTTTTGCAGTATATAACCCAAGTCTTCCTGGCTGTAGTAAGCTTAGCATTCTATCCAAAATAGGCCTGCTGAGCATACTTTGGTTCTTGTCTCAAATTTATAATTAAACTGCTTGTAAATACTGTAAATTTTAAATGTTTTTATACTGAATTAAAAAAAAAAAAACTCAAAGGCAAATGTGTGCTCTCCTTTTTGCTCCTTTAGCTTTTATACTGAAGAATAAATCTGCATTTTGAAGCTTGCTCAGTTGTTCACTTGGTCATATATGTTATGTATGCTTCAGCTTTACTAAAAATGAATAGAAAATGCTGTTTGTGATATATACATGTGGAATTGTATATAGCCAGTTGCTGTGCCTTACTTACCAGATGTATTAGCATGTAGAAGAATGAGTTTTAAAGTAAGGCTGTTTCTCATTTGTTTTTGAGAGATCCTCTGGGTGAGATACCACTCATTATAGTCAGTGGTAAAAACCTCCCATTGTCCTTCAGGACGTGATTGCGTCCCTTTGTTTTGAAAGAGATGTCTCTCCCCTATAGATGTGAGGTTGTACCTTTGCTGTGCCCCAGCAGATGATCGTGTAGAAGGATGGGGGCTTACACACTGATTCTGGCTAGGTCATTAGCTTTGCAACTTCTTAGTCAAGTAGTTACCTTCACAGTACTGATGCAGCAGGGAATAACTTGAGTCCAATTCTAATGCCTGAGCCTGGGGACTGTCCTTACATTCCGCTGAAAAATTACTGACAAAGATTAACACAATTTGAATGGATTAATTCCTACAAAGCAAGAACAGCTGAGCTTCCTTGAAACTTACTGATCTGTTTATTTGAAATTTAAATGATTGGAAAAGACCTAATGTTAACTTCTTATTTGTGAACATGTGCATTTTAATGTGGATCTTGGAAATTTGCCATGCTACATTTGCCCAAAATAATTTAGAGTATCAGTGGAAGAGTTTTGGTTTGACTTGCCTGTCAAACCTATAATGTGCAATCTGAAGATATTTTCTACTTCTATTTAACATGTTTAGTCCAAATTCCTGCTTTCCAGTAGCTTCTTAAAATTGTGAATAGTGCTGTCTCTGGGCTGATTCCAGTAAGAGCAGTAATACCTTAAGAAGTCAAACTGTCAGAAGTGGCTGTACGGATTACACAGTGTAGTAACCAGTGAAGTAACTTGAATTTATAAAATGCATTAATTACTATATTTTTTAAACATTTCAGAAATTTTAGTAATGGATTAGCAATTTTTTTTATTAACCCATTATGAATTACTTGTTTATAGTTAAAATTGTTCTCTCTCCTGAGAGTTTTTTTTATTTCCATTTGTACACAGCTCTCACCCTTGTTTTCTGACTGACTCATTTGTGCAATTGGGCAATGAAATGACCAGGTAGCTGACTGGGCTGAAAAAGTATTTTTTCATTTATTTTGTGGCAAAGAAGTTTTTTATTTTTTGTCCCTACTGTCCAGACACAGCTTTATATATGTGTGTGTGTATTAATATAAAATATATATTGCACACAGAGCAAACCATGAGCCAACAACCCACATGGTTCTGACAGCCAACTCAGCATATCTTCTGCAAAATTAATCCTGCAGTTGTCAGATATTTGCGGTATTTATGGAATAGAACAGTAAGCAGCAAGGTAAATTGTAACCCAGCCTTTTCTTGCACTGACATCTCTTGAGTAGATTCTATAAGGTTGCTCAGAGAAACCCTATCCCTTCAAAAGTATCTTTCCCCAAAAAACAGATGTGTAGAAAATGTTTAGACTGAAAATACAGACTGAGAAAAATGAAAATCTGAAACAGTGTATTCTGTTCCTGCAGGTGTTTTTGTTGTATTTTTGTTTTGTTTTGCAAGTTTATAGCAGCTTATTTAGGTGTGGGAAGGGTGGAGGGCATGTGAAGTCCCATCCCAAGAGTCAGGGAGCGTGCCTGGTGTGGTTGTTTCCTTTCTGCTGCCAGATTTGATGAGAGTTGAGGCTTGTGTCAACAGCAGCTGCGTTTGTGACCTGCAGCAAACAGGAGTAAATGTGAGGTACTTTCACAGGTAAGCATGGGTTGCAAGAGCTTGCCAGAATGGCTGCAAGAAGGTGCCAGCACCCAGAGAGAGGAAAAGAGGCAGAGAGCACCTCTGCTGCTGCTCACAGGGGAGCAGGATACCTCCATGGGATGACCTGAGCAGCAGGGAATAGATCCGCAGAGCAGCCGCCACTGCCAAGTGCGTTGATCTCCAGGAATCGATCCATGTTCCCCCTGCTTGTCCTTACCGAAGTTTTAGGTTACAGTTTTTATTTTGTTCACTGTCTTAGGAAGAATGGAGAAACCTGCCCTTTTATCAGGAACTAGCATAGTACCTTCTCCTCCCTAAAATCTATTTGAATCCAAGTTGGAACAACTTGGGTGATTAATTAATGAGAATGACTTTCACTTTATCAACTGCTTCCAGGCTGTGCAGCAACATTAGCAGCTTTATTTGGGATGTGCCAAATTTTACTTTCTGTAAGAAAATATGGAACAAAGGTTTTTGGCAAATAAGTAAGTATTAGGGGGTAACCTACCATTTTCTGGTTAAATGGTCACAGTGCAGTCAAATGCAAACTAACAGCTCTGAGAGCTGTGAAAACCAGTTATGCTGAAAGATGCTGTCCTGAAAAGCTGATCTCTCTCGTTCCTGAGCAATGCTAGAAAACTGCATCAACACAGTATCTGCATGACATGATTGAAAAGAAAAAGTAACATTACAATATGTTTTAAAAATTCGATAGTATACATATTCGATACAAATTCGATAGTAGAATACAACGGTAGTAAAATTAATACTAGCACACAGAGTCTAGTTCTAGAGTTTATATTCCTCAGAGGCTATGGAAATGTTAGTGAGAATTCAAAAGGCAATCACAAAACTGGTCCACAGACTGGAAGGTGTGATGCTTACAAACGTGACTGAAAGGTCACTGGATTTTGATGTACACATGGTAAAGAAAGCAGGGTGGGAGGAGGGAAAGAAAGAGATTTTCTGTGAGGATATATCAAGACCTTCTAACTGGAAGTTGAACTTAAGTGCGCTCAGACTTCAGAAGTAAGCCACTTCCTCGTTGTGAGAAGTTACTAATTAGAACAGTTTAGAGAGGGAGTCAGGAGACTGCAGATCACTTAGGGCAGGTACTTTCTGAAAGCTGGGTTTTCATCCAGCTATGAAAGTGGTGGTGGGAGCACTCGGTCGCAGGCTGCTCCTCAGCTTACCAGCTGTTTTGGGCCAGAAAGGACTGGCCGCTGCGTGAGCTAACCTGCAGTGCAGCCTCTGCCCAAGAGGGGTGGGTGTAGTTGAAGCATCAGGCCCTTCCACTGGGGGCACAGCTCATCCACGTGGCTACCTGCTTAGCACCCTCCCCCCACAGCTGGCTTGCCTAGGAAATCCCTGGAGCTTGCCTCTTTCCTGGTTTTATGGTCTGAGGTAGCCAACAGAAGCATTTGCTCCTTCTTTAGCCCGTGCCTTCTTTACAGACGCGGAAGCAGATGTCCCAGTTCCTTCCATCTCGTCTTTCAATATGCTTCTCCAACCCTCTCGTCAATATCCTTTTGTGTGGTGCGTGGTGAGTCAGACCAGCGTGGTCTGTGGTCTGGACCTGGCTATGGTGATCAGTAACACATCATCCCACAAACAGCCTACAGATAACGAGAGCATGGGTCACATCCTACCCACACTGATAATATTTCAGGCATTGCCTGAGCTGCTGCTAGTGCCAGAGTTATCGAGCAGAACAAGCATCTGTCCCACTAGGCGCTGAACCTTCCTTTCTTTACTGTGCTGGCCGACCAAGAAAACATGAGCAGCATTCGCATGGGGTTTATCTGTGGATTTTAGTGCCCAAGTGAGCACTTGCCATGTTTCCTATGCTATTAAAATCAGATAAACGAAACCAAAAAGCAATGGAATATTAGTTCCATGTGTCTCTCAACTGCTGGGTTTTAATCTGCGGATCATTCAGTAAGGAATCCAAAACTTAAAAGGAAAACAATCTTTTCTGAGTAGGCTTAAATTTACTGTACCGGTCCTTAGCAATGGAAAAATTGTACAGCATTGCAAATGAGAAAAGACTAACTGTTTTAAAGAAACTTGTTATTTAAGTAAAATGCTTTGAGCAATTTTTGTATTTGGTCTTACCTAGCATTTCTAATGAACACCAGTGTCAGTTACTAGCGTCCTGGTGCAATTCAGTGTTTCACACTTGGTTAAATAAATATCGTATATGAAATAATTACTTGCTACCCAGTAAATCTTCAGCAACTCTTCATCTTTAGTTACCTTCAAGCTTCTCACTATCAAGGTGCAGTTAAGCATTTGGAATTTCTAATGATAATTTGTAAAATGTTGATCCAAGCCTTTTAACACTGAGCTGAGCAGTTCACACCTGTGGGCAGGAAGTAGTGAACGCCAACACTGTGTAGTGAAAGTCAATCTCACTTCCGTAGCAACTTTTCTGTAATAACTCCTGTGATGCAATATCTCTTCACTGAATGGCAAAAAAAAAGCAAGAAGTCCCCATTGCCCGAATTCTTTTTTTTTTTAAGTAGTGCTTCATTGTCATAGTCACCACTAAGATGGTAAAGGGCTGGCACACATGCTGTACTGGAGGAGGCTGACAGAGCTGAATTTGTTCAGCTGGGTCAGGAGATGGCTTGTCCCTAGTTGCAGTTGTCAACTACACAGAGGGGAGGGTTACGGTATAGAAAAGCCAGAGATAGACTTTTCTCAGAGGCACACAAAAGACAAAAAGGCAACAGTTAAGTTGCCGCAGGGGAATCTCAATTAGACATAAGTGGGAAAAAAAAAAGACAGTGGTTTGCAAAGAAAGTGGTTAAGAGTGAGTGGGATAACACTGCAGTTAGCCCTGCTTTGAGCATTAGGTTGGACCAGATACCCAGAGCCCTCATCCAATGCAAGTTTTTTTATGAATCTGTGCTGGTTGCTTAGAAGGGTAAAAGCCTGAAAGCTGCTGCTACAACTGAGAATATTATTTGGGACCAGAATAACCTGAACTGCCCAGGTTATCCCAGTGTAAAACACCAAACATCGGAAAGATGTGTCCAGCCTCTGCCAGTTACTAGAAGTAGTCTCTGTAAAGCATATTTCTGGACTTTCCTCCCTTCCCTTGTCCTCCCACACCCAGATCCATGCACACAAGTGAAACGTGCCTGCACAGTTATGTCAAATATCAGAGAATCACATCCTGGAAAGCCAAGGTGGTGCTGTCGTAGCAGTTCTGGGGTTAACTTTCCTGCTTGAACAGATGAGAAACAATTTGCTCCAGGAAAAAAAAAATAGATGATGGTATCAAATTGAATGACTCAGGCAGCTTCCAGCATGAATGTACTTGACTTTTACCTCTGTGTAGCAACATGCAAGCCTCAACAGAATGAACTCTGTTTACTCAGCGTTCAGATAGGTTTTTATTCCAGGAAAGGAAAAATTTCTCATGTTCACAGTTCTGCGTGTGTACTGGCAGGAAGTGAGAGGGGATCGCTCTTTTTGTGGGATCTGTGGTATCATCTGTACTACTGTTTCAGTTATTTTTTCACAAGGGTTTGGACTGGAAAAAAAGTAATTTTTTTCCAATGTAACTAGCATGAGCACGGTCATAACTCCTTAGCTCAACTCTGTTGGGTAAAGTAACACATTCCATTTTCTATTTTTTCATAAAATACATTTTAGAGTATTGTTTTTTAAAAGTTCTCATTTCATTAAAATACACAGTATCGCAGTATACATTAGCCTATACATTAGGCTCATCCTCAATTTTTTACAAAAATATGCAATATATACAGTTTATTAAATTCAAGATATATAGTATGTCTGTATATTCCTGTGTACAGCTGGTACTTGTTTGAATATAGCTATTTCTATCACACCAAGCACAATGCACTCAAGAAGCATGACTGAAATTCCTGAGTAAGAAAATGTTAAAGATGATAACAATGTTGGACTACCAGGCATTTCAATAATTTCAAAGTTATGCAAAGAGTTACAACCTACTCTAGACCGCCACACCATTTTACAGATAAAGTGCTATCCGAGTGCAGCGCACAGGTAGCCCAGACTTTTCAAGGGGGTAGGCCTTTCTTTCCCCATTTCCCCATGATGTACAGCACTCTTTTTTTAGATTTGGAAAGAAATGCTGCTGAAGGCTACGGGCAGTCTGACCTTCAGCTCCGTGATCCCCCTTGCCCCGAAGTTTGACTTTCAGATGATTTTGCGGAGATGGAAGGAACTGCCGTCAAGAGCAATTCTGGCAAACCTCCACAGTTCAGAGCCCAGCAATTCACCAGCATGCAGAACACACCAAGGTGTGTGCCTACAATTTCAGTAAGTAAATACTTAGCCTGTGGCAAGCATGACTAAACTTTGATGACATTTCAGTCTGGTGATTGGTTTATAAAAGTTCCTTATTCCCGCACTTGAGCTCATATAACATGATGAAATGCTAATTACATTGGTGTGGGGAACTGCTTAAAGGTCATCGGGTTTTGAAAAATGTGTTTGGGAAATGGATAGATAAAAAATTCCTGGACACTAATGGCAGAGATGCCTTTCTACCTTCTACCTTGATTCCTGGTTTTTGTTTTTGTTTTGTTTTTTTTTCCCCTGTGTTTCTTCTCAGTTCTGTAATCCCCTATACTGGACTAACTAGCTAATTTTCAAAGTTAGACATCTACAGTTTTAATACATCTGCTGCAAATTCAGTCCTTGAATAATGAAGTATACTAGCTCAGCTGAACCAAAAGCCTGTGCCCAACAAATCTGACGGAGGCATACATAAGCCCAGCTCCTTGATTAGATTTTGTCCCGTTTGCCTCGTATAACTGAGTGGTTTTATTTAAAAAATACATTAATTTCAACCAGAACTTGCACTTTTTTTGTGCTGACAGGTGATTTGCTTCCACCTTTTCCCAAGGCACAGGTGATTGTTGGGCAAATTTCTGTTTCTGTGGGCAGAAATATTCTTTCCTGCAAACAGGTAGTTTTCACATTGGTGGATGTTGTTAAATAGCATCATGCTAAATCACACGAAATTTGGGTTGTTTCTGGAGGTGAGCTTTCAAAAGGAGGTTGTGGCCTGAATTCTGATCAGATATAGTGATGTGTGAGTGCCAAGCCACACACAGGCACCCGCGGCAAGGGATGGGAGCCAGGGAAGGACAGGAGGGAAGGTGGCACCCACCTGCGGCCGGCGGTGAAGTGTTCACCACCAGCAACAGGCTCAGTTGAATTTTTTATACAGCAGAGGAGTGTGAATGGCACCTGCCTACCTCCAGGCAGGTGTTCGCATGCAAGTGCAGCATTTGCAGCCACGGCCCGACTTGCCTGGCAGAGATGGCTTTTGATGCCGAGCCCAGGCGCCTGCTAGCCAGGAGGTCCAGCGTGCACAGGCACATAGATCAGTCACACCACCCCATGCTGAGGACAGTAAGAGCAGATTCTCAGGGTTTTTTTTACAGCTTTGCGGCACACCCCCAGCGGCCAGAACATATGACTCCTGCCAGTCTGAAAGTCCAAAGCAGACTGGCACTTTGGCCCCATAGGCTGGGCTCGCCTCCCTGGGTCAGGGCGCCGCCATGGCCCCCAGCGCCATGGCTTCTACATCTCTCGGGGCATGAAGGCGGATGCGCTCCCTCAGTGTGCCCAGGAATCTCATTTTCTTTCCCTGTCCCAGACGACGTCCTGCCATGAACACCCCGAAAAATGCCACTCTCTGTGCTGCGCCCAAAGACAGGCCCCCAAAGCAGATGCCACCCCCATAGGTAAGTGTTTTACGTTTTTACAGTGAGATTCCTTATATTCTTCAGCTCTGAGTGACTAGCAAGCTAAAAAAAAAAAAAGGAAAAAAGAAAAAGAAAAAGACAAAAGCACTTAGCATAGCAAGCAAGCCCCAGAGGAGGGACTCGGCTTGACGAATTTATGGGGCAAAGCTATATTGCCAGGCACAGATCCTTTGGGAATTAGTGCCTAGAAAAGGACCATTTTCATGTTTGTTTGCTTCATAATTAATTCCAAACCTGAGAGTGACCACAGCTGCCAAGAACAAACAATCGCTTATGTTTAATTTAGAGAGACTCAAATGTTTTTCGGCTAAGTTAAAATAAACTAAAGCCAAACCGGGGATTTTGGAAACCTCTAAAAAGAAGGGGAACTCTGGCATGTTTAAACAATTACTTCCTCATGAGACATGCCCAAGAGGAAGAGAGATGCTCTTCAGTCATGGAGCTGCTTTCCTAACATGAGGGGGATCACACTCTCTTCCCTCTGCTTATTGATACACCTGCTTCAGGAGGAGACAATTAGTAAGTAAAGGTTTTTAATTCTTTTCCAGTGTGGGGAAAGGGGTGTTTGGTCTGTTAATGAATCTGGACAAGTGAGTCAAGAAATCTAGGGTATTTTGGTGGGTTTCAAAAGCCCTGTCCTTTCCAAGTTGGTCTGTTTTGTTGTCTTTTAAGTTTCTGAACAGACATTAAAACAAACACGTTGCCCATTGAATTTATTTGTAGCTGTGTTACCGGTCTCAGCTCAACTAGCTCAAGTCTTATCTGGTTCTGTGATACTGCCAGGGATAAAGCTGCAGTAATACAGAGTCATCTGGGTCACTAAATCCTGATACTTTCAGGAGCTGGGTATTCCAGAGAGGTTGTTAACTGATTCTCTCCTCTATAACCACCTCAGTTTGCAAATAGATTAGCTTGAAAATATCCAGTAGTTTTTCCAAGCAGTATAGACTGGAAAAGCAATAAACCTCAGGTTATTTTGTATTAGATAAGAGCCAAAAAACAGGAGTATGGTAACTGTCCTCATGACAAGGAGTTTAGAGGCATGACAACTCTCCCATGAAAAATAGCTATAATCCCTGCAGGTTAACGCTGAGATATGCGGAGGAAAGAGCACTTAACCTAAACTTCTGAGGTAGCTGCTTCTTGCAGGCTCTGTGAATTGATCGGAAGCGTTTCCTTCCTGGGACATCCATAAGCCATCTTTCACAGCAATAAACTCACTGAGGAAAAATAATTAAAAAAACAAAAATAAAAATGTTCTTTTCATAATACTCACTGTGTTCTGTAACTGCTAGCTCTCGTCATTGCGACTTGGAAAGTTTCAAATATGAGACCCAGGAGATCTAATTTCCCTGCAGTCTGCTAGCCTGAAACCAATTGAGCTGTAGCAATACCCAGCTATTTGAATGTGGAAGAGTGTGTCTGTTATGAACACGCTGCACTCTCATTCCTTATTGTTTGCAGCAATTTTAGTTTTGGAAAATCAAGACCTGCAAGAGTCGATTAAACCACAGAAGGTCGAGTTTCATTCGTTAAACTTCAACAACACTTTGCGCTGGCTGCCTGGGAGAGCCAGCAAGGCACAAGACACTGTCTACTTTGTGCAGTATAAAGTGTAAGTACCCAGGGGAACTCCAGCCTCACATGTAGCCCTGGTCCGCCCCTGCTTAGTATGTTAAAGGGATTTCTCAGGTGACAAAGGCTACTCCTTCCTCACCCAGAGAATACCCGTGCTTTGCTCTGCTCACAGCACTCAATTGTTCACTCATTAATAGCCCATAAAATGCAGCCTAACAGCACAAAGAAGGCTGATAACAAGCATCTCCAGCAGTGTGCTGCGCACCCTCATGGCACGGTAGAACTACAGGAAAATTTAGCCTGGAGGGGACCTCCAGAGGTAAGCTGGACCAAAGCCCTGCTTGAAACAGAGCGAACTCAGTTAGCTGCTGCCACCGCCATGGGAGATTTAAAGCATTTCAGCGGGCCCCATTCCCTACAGCACCAAGTGACTCGAGGGATCCTGGCAACACACCCAAGACCTGCTAGAGACTGACTCTCAGAACTCAATAAAAACTGTCAAAATTCCTGTCTTTGCACACCTGGGTCATCTCCTCTGACCTGAAAACACGTTTGCCTTGGAGGAATTAACTGGCTGAAACAGCCAATCTGTCTGGCTTTGAATATGTCTGCTAAGCCGAAGCTTATCCATCTTTCCCAAGGGACAAATGTGGCTCTGAAAGAGACCTGAAATCAATCTTCCCTGTCATCAAATTGAAGGAGAGTTACTTTCCATAGCAAAACTGTGGTTGCTGAGTTAAAATCAACTGTTAAAAATCCATACAGACTCGGTCAGAGGTGGCGAAAGCTTACACCTTTCCTCCTCTTTCTCCACAGGTACGGGCAGAGCACATGGCAGAACAAAGGAGACTGCTGGGGAATTCATAACCATTTTTGTGACCTAACAAATGAGACTTCTAACGTCCAAGAGCCTTACTATGGCAGAGTAAAAGCTGCTTCAGCTGGAGTTTTTTCCGACTGGAATCTCAGCTGCAGATTCACTCCATGGCGAGAAAGTAAGTACAAACATATGGGGCTGTTTGAGGAAGTAATTAGGTTTTCTGTGGCATGAAATATATCATTTTTGCTCAGGATTTGCAATCATGAATAATCATTTTGTAGCTATAAAACCTTATGCAAAGAAGCTATGAATCAGTGGTCCTCAGGTGAAGTGTTATGATGAAATAATTTTCCCCATATTGAATGCCTACCAACTACAGATAAGTAGTTACTTAGCTGTAATTAGGAGATCAGAAATGCCTGATGCCCTTAACTCAGCCTCCTCCTCAAGGCATGGAACAATACAATGTATTTTCAGCCATTTTCAGAGCTCCTGGAAGGATTGGACACAAGGTGGAAAAAGAAGGAAATATCCTCTTCTTGGGTGGAAAAAGGGAGAAGAAAGCTGAGAGCTGTGTAATCAACGTCTTCTAACATTTATGTATTTTCCTGACCCCAGTGTAACAGAACAGCCACATGCAAAGGTCTGGCGAGTACAGTCATTATAATCTCTTAGGATAGGATAAATTGGAGGGCTGTCAAAATACTGAATAGCACAGGCATGCCTACCACTAAATTGCTGTGTATTAACTAGTTCTCCCTCACTGGCCAACGTATAGTAAGTAGCGTATGAATCAATTCAGGTCCTTTCAAAGCCCTAAACTGCAAACAAACTCGAGTACCCTGTACAGACAAAACTATAAGCTTTGACAAAAAGCCGTATCTTGCAATAGCAACAGACCATCTCGCCCAGTGCTGCATCCTCCTTCAGGAGAGCTGCGGGGAGCACATGCAATCTCCCGGTGTCTTTGGGAGCTGCACACACAACTACACAGGCACTAGTTTCAACCCTCAGCTGTTCTTAACCAAGCAGATTGCAAAAGCCTTGAAAATAATGATTGAGGCTCTTGCCCTTCACATAACCAAAATAGTTCAAATATCTGTTTTATACAGTCCAAGCACACAGATAAATACGAAAAAAAACAGGGCAAAGTATCCACAGCGTTTTACCTGAGTAACCTGCAGTCAGCACCATGGAGCTCTAACAGGGTTCAGAAAAGTTGGCTCAAAGTTAAAGATGCAAACACAGAAACGTCAGCCCCAAAATGTCCCAAGCAGTAACCACTGCAAAGTAAGAATCTACTTCAGCCTTAAATGCAGCATCAGGCCTAGTTGGTATCCTTAACATTAAATGGTTGAATAGTTTTAAATTGTGTTACGCAAAATATTATTCAACAACTATAATCATGTTCATAATTTTGCTTATTTCTTTAGCTATGATAGGACCTCCTTCGGTAAATATGGTTCACAGAAACAAATCCATAATTCTAAAGCTCCAGGCTCCACGTTCTCCTTATAAAAGGAAGAGAGGCAGCAACATACCAATGACAAGTTATTATGATCTGCTATATCAGGTCTTCATAATTAACAACCTGCTAGACGAGGTAAGTGAGCATTCAAATACAAACCCTTTACCCTTGAAAAACTGGAACCAGGACCGTGTGCGCATACCCTTCTGTTTTCACAGCTGAAACAATCCTCCAGGATCGTGAGGGCATCAATGACTGCGTAAGTATTTGAAAATAACTAGGCTTCCTTTTCAGGAATTGAATTTGATTGCACAGAGTTGTAATTCCTCCCTTCCTTACTCTTTCTCAGCAACATAGTATTTTATCTTCTCAGGCCCAGTTAAAACCAGATGGGACAGGAGGGGGTTTGGGGCACTTTTTATGAAAGACAATGTTATTAATGTTGACTTCATACAACTCCATGAGCTGCTCTGCATCCTCAGGCCTTACCACACTGTAGTCACAGATGCACTTGCTAGGGCGATGTTCTTGACTGGTTGTTTTTCTTCCATTCTGTCTGAAGAAACATAGCACCCTGGTGTATGAAGGAGCAGACAAGATTATTAAAATAAAAGATTTGAGGCCTGGCGTCAGCTACTGCATCATGGCAAAAACTTACGTGCCGATGCTGGACCGCAGCAGCGCGTACAGCAGCCGGCAGTGCACAGTGCTGCTGTGACGGGGAGATACTGCTGTGGCAGATGAGTTGCCTGCTGAGGCTCTGGGGGATGCTGGAAGTCAAGAGCCATCTCGTCACCAAAGGGAGATAATGTCCAGAAGGAGGAAAAGAAGCGTTGCATAGAAACTGCTGTTCTCTGTAAGATATGGACAATATTAGCCAGAGTTTTTACATCAGCTCAGCTAGTTTCATATCAGATAAGGAAGATACGGCAAAGAAAATAAGAAGATTGCTGTTGCTAATTATTTGCATTCTGACAAGGTGCTTAGACAGTTACAGTTGCTTTAGAAAATCCCCTGTATATATTGATCAGAAATGCTTCCTTTTTCCCTTTCTTTAAACAGTTATACATAATATTGCTTTCATCAGCTTTTATTGCTGTCAAGTAATAATTAACTGAGAAAATGAATGAACTCCAACTTTGTTAACACGTAATTCTGCTGCAAGCTCTGTATTTCTGTTCAGGGATTTACGAGGTGGATTTATTCCAACAGCAGTTAATGTGCCTGTCTTCCTTTCATGGCCGTTCTTCAGGTGTAATATGTTTAAAATACAAATCAGATATCAAGTTTCATGAATTTCAATGAGCTGAAAGGCAAGAACTAGCTCAATTAGGTAATCTGAAAAGACCGTTTACCTGCCTCAATCACCACACTATCTTGACGCATCATACACCCCACTGAGAGGGATTTACTCTTAATCCTGCCTTGCAGTTGCCAAGGCACAGAGTATATAAAGACCTAAGTCAAAGTTGACTTCAGTGCTATTGGCCTCAGAAAGCTTTGATATGGGTCCTTTTTAGGAGTAACTGGGATAAACTGGAAAAGCATCAAAGTTTGAACCTGCGCTTTTATTTTCAGCTCACTGCCCTAACTGTAAAAGATTTTCTTTCTTCATAGTATGACACATAATGTTGATCCCTCTGTCGATCCCTCCTGAGATGCAGCCAGTGGGTTCAGTCTAAGGAGATAGCTGGGTTTGAGCTAATTCCCGTGCACTGCTAAAGAGCTACCCAGCACTGTAAAATTTCACAAGCGCAGGTTAGAGCTGGACTGCTGAACAACTGGTAGAAGTACAGGAGGGATACAGGAGGATGGCATGCATTGTATTTTCTGTTGAATTTAGTACCACGCAGCTTAAATGTGCGCTCCAGTGGCAACTCTCTTTCTCTTCCTCCAGAGATAACAGTGGAAGATGCTTTCCATCACAAACTCAGATGTAAGTGGATGTCTGTGGTTTAGGATATGGCTAGAATACATATCTGCATGCTTTTTAAATTAACCTTTGCTGCACCAAATGATCTGATTCATCACACTCATTTTAGGCTACACAAAGCACAAGTATTATTTGTATTTTCTATATTACAATTTAAGATAGTATGCATTTGCAAGTATACAGGAAATAGCCTTGTATTATAGTTAAAAAAACGCAAAAAAACACTTCTGAAAATATATCCTTAAGGCTGTTTCTAGGGTTTTTCTATTTTAAGTGTTGAAATTAAAATAAAATATTTAAAATAGAAGTTTCAAAGATTTTATTTCATTTAAAACAAAGGTTGAAATAAAAGTCAAAATTGTCCTTTGTTTAAAATAAAAACTGTACAGTCCAATAGCATATCCTATGCTTACAGTGTCTTCATAGGGCCCTTGATACAACTGTTTCTGATAGTGAAACCAGTATGTGATTAGGCAGGAGCTCACTAAACTGAAATAGAAATTATCTTCTCTTTCAGTCAATGACAGACAGGAAGGGAATAGGGAAGAGACCTTTATTTTAACCAGTGTACAGTAAATGATGAATGAATGCTCACCACTATCTGTGGTTTCTAAGGATCTGATTCCTACTAGTCTTCATCTCACAAGGGAAAAGATTTCCTGGGTAAGGTTTGCATAGATACCACTAAGCTACCACAGGATAGAGAGGATAAATTACTTTTTTAAGTTCTATAAGGTCTGTAAAAAATGAGATGCTAAATACTTATATATATATATCAGTATGTATAATAAGTGTGTGTATATATAGAGAGAGGGAGAAAAATATATGTGTGTGTGTGTGTGAATTAATTAACAGGAAGTTGCCTGATACAAGAGGACAAACAGAGCTCTGGAAAATGCTCTATTACATAATTATTATCCACTTTTCCTTTAATTCACATACACTAAGGCGGCTCAGTCCGGTTTAATGACAGGCCTTGAGTTCATTTAAATTACATCCAAAGCATTTTACGTGTTCTGTCACTAATACTTCACCTGTAGGCAATACTGCTCAAAGCATACCTTGTAGCAGCAGGAACCTGGGAAGAGGCTGTGGCTAAGTGAGTGCTGGTCACTCTTTCTGTTACTAAAATGAGAAAGTACATTACAGATTAAATATTTCTACCATTTGATTATAACATACAATATATCTGAATGACCAGATTTGCAGGCATCTAGCTGTGCCTACACACTAGTTCATAAAATCAGCTTTCCTTCAGGACCCTTCCCTTTTTGCTCCTCTCCCTTTCTTCCTGTTGTTTTACCCTGCCCATATCACCTTTTTCCTTAATTTAAGTAAGTTTCTTTGGGAAAAGAGACTTATTAAATGTTCATCAAGTAGCTAGTGCTGTGATAAATTTCAGATTCTGGCAGATGGTGACAGATCGCAAGAGCTGTGTGGAGTGTGCAATATACAGTATCTGGATGAGCACAACTTGCCCGACCACCTCTGTTCTGCTGGACAGGACCAGAATAAAATCATCCAGGTAGACTATTAAGAAATAGCCTGTCTCGCCTTTGAGCAATGGTGCCTTTACCCACTTGTGGATTATCACATCGTGAAAAAAAGTGTCTGCAGTAATTCAAACTTTCTCAAAGTCTCTTTCCTTAGCATAGCTCATGTTGATGTTGTTAAACAAATATGAAGTTATATTATGGTATCATCTAGTAACCCCGGTCAGGGAGCGGACTCTGACAATGCTGAATACTGCACCTATGTGTCAGATGCAGAGCATGAAACTGTTTAGGGGTCTAAAATACAGCAGCTGTCATGTTATAGGTCTACAAAGAAGTTGGAAACTTGACAGTTTAACTTGATAAAGTTACACAAAATGTGCAGCACTTACACTGGGACAATGAATAAACGTCCTCAAGTCTTACACTATGTTTACTAACCAGATTTCACTTCCTTAGCAACATTGCAGGCTTACAAAAAGCAGCACTAGAGTTGCAGGAACCACTTCCATTCTGTCATGTGCCATGACACCAGCCCCACAATGTTCTGCAAAAGCCAATTTTCTCTTTCCATTTGAAATGCAAATTTCCATTCAGCTGTGCTCTGAAACGTACTTTTACTGGGGGGCGGTTTGGTAAAATGACTGGTGCTGTATTTTTGCTCCGTGAGCAGCGAGACTGGTATGTTCCCATGACAGGCTCCACTGCGCACGCAGGATGTTGGGCTCATGCAGGAAGATGTACTTTGCTGTGGCAGGTCCCGTCTGGGTGATCTGCACCCACAGCTTCTAGACACCCCTGCTAATGTTTTAATTCTTAAAAACTATTTCGTTGGTGCCTTACCCTGCACGCTGCCCTGATGTTTATGTCTCCATGAAGGTGGAGTGGAAGAAGAGCCCTCCCCCAGGTTCTGAACTGGAGCAAAGGCTTTCTTGCAGGCAAGTCATGGACACATAGAGCTTGTCTGCTACCTGGCTGGGGCCGGCCCACTGCACTGAGGTGCTGCAACAGCAGCGTGGACGCTACTCAGTGTAGGATGCCTTTACCTTGTGGGGGTGACCCCAACTGCTGGACTGTCTGAGCAGTGCATCTGCTGGTCCCCTCTCAGCCTCGTCTCTGCTGTGAACCATCTACGGACTTCAGAGATGAAACTGGAGAGGGGTTGAGGGGATAGGGACTATCCGACACATACAAACCACAGCAACTTGGGTTTCTGTGACAAATGTCCAGGGTATTCGTCCACAGGCCGGTCCCCAGGCATCTTCACAGCATTTGGAGAGAGGTAATCAGGGTGGGAGTCTAGCTCCTTTGATTCCCCCCCCCCCCAACAACAAAAACACCTCTCTTTCTGTTGATTATAGAGACAATCTTGCAGGATCAATCTCCCAACATGAAGCATGCCTAAAGCTAATGAGATTACACTCACTGACACGTCAGGCTAGCTGATATTTCTTGCAACAAATTTGCAAGGCCCAGCTCAGAACTCCCTCCCCTTGTTTTTTCAGTCACCCACAGAGCATGTACTTTCTAACAAAGTATCAAATGCTAGCTTATGTTTCAGGAAATAGTGAAAGAAATGCTGGCTTCTGATTCTGTGACATGGGGTGGGGAAGACTAAGCAGTATAACAAAATCAGAGCTTGTGCAACCTTTTCCTCTAAACCCTTGCCTGCTGTGTCACTGGGGAATCTCCACAGTTGCAAGTATGGCCTGTTGCAACAGCTTCATCTGGCCAAATCTCTGTACAGCAACTCAGAACCCTGCTGATGAGAAATAAAGATTGTATCTTTTAGAAATTTGCAGTTATACATCTTTGTCAGTCTGCCATTCAATATGAAGTTCATGCCAGCAGAGCCTATCCTTTTCTTTCATGACCGTGGCTGAATACTGCCTTATTAGTTTGATGGAGTAACAGCTTATTTCTCACTGTAAATGGTTTTAACTTCCTGTTCCACCAGTGCACAGAACTGCAGCATTTAACTATGAGAGATTCAAGAACAGGGCTCCAAGAAAGCTGATAGAGTGACAGCAGTGGACCAGATGCTCCAGTCTTATAAATTAGGAGAAGATTATGCATGGCCAGCTGTACCATATAAATGCCCCGTTTTATATGATGCTATGATCCTCAGTGTTTATCATATGGTCTAGCATCTGGTCAGTCCTGTTCACACCTCCCACATATCTGTTCTGATCAGATGTGGACTTGGGGTCTATTTACATGCGTGACTTGGTCTCGGCTAAGAAATGTTTGCACGGCCCAGTGGTGCTGTGGTATTATGAAATAATACTGCCTTTTGCATCAGATCTAACAGTCATTATCAAGTATTCCAAACTGCAGGGAATTTATTATAAAAGGGGGTTTTCTATGGATTTTAGTGACATTTTTACTACAATGATCAAAGATATCAATCTGTAAAAGCTGCCTTATA